TTTCCAGGTCCGGCAAGTGGCGAACATTCAGAAATACTCGGTACAATGTGTCCTTGTCATCAATATATTCAACGAGAAGATCTTCATCATTCTTTGGTTCTGGTACGATTATACGTTGTTCTTTTTTTACAGTATTCCATGTTGCTGAGCTAAAAGTAGTATTGACAGGGGGAGGGAGGCCAACGCCTTGGATCGTTCACTCTAGCTTTGGCCAGAGTTTGTTAGTGGAGACCATGTCTTCTGTGCGAGACTCTCCCCGAGTGCCCTCTCCCACCATTCCCAGCTTCCTTAGCCCACGCTGCCCAGGCTCTGCATTCACACCCTGTACAGCTTGATGTTTATATGGATCGCGGTCCTTATGGAAAATCTCAGAGGCAGGGTTACCTTGGTACGAAGGCCAAGGCAAGGCTTTTTTTCGACCGCGTCTTCCACTGAAATAGTTTGGTCCGCCCAAATCCTTTCCATCGTCCATAGCCTCGAAAAGCCTAATCAAGCAGAGAATGGATGTGGTCCAGCCACGCGCACTGCTCGCCTTTTGCCGCTACAACTAGAACTGTACCGTTTTGAATCAAGTTTGAAAAATGCTCCTTGGAGGTTGCATGAGTTCAGCTGGGACAGTCCTGCTCTCCCACATCTAGTGCATGCGTTGCGATCGCACGTGTGAGGTAATTGCACTTCACTCTTTCCTTAACGAACTGGAAAGGAGACCATAAATTAATGTGCAGGTATTTCTATTGTTCTTATTCCAGGTATCTGATGCTGTTCGCCGCTGCGGCATTCACATTCGTCTCGTGGTTCGTCCTTCTACTTTTCCCATGTTTCTCCAGATGGTTCATCGAGCAGCATCTCGAGCTGAGTACCCTTGACCGGTTCCAAACAGATTCATTACGTGAGTTTTTTATTGAAGGCATGTAGCGTTTTTGTCAGTATCTCGGGCAGCCAAGACTGAAATCGCGCAGAGGCTAGAGGCCTGTACACGACCCCTTTCAGGCCACGGCACCGAAAATGCCAAGGTTGATCAAACCTTCCTTCAGCGCGGATTCAAACCCGGCGTCTTCAAAAGTATTCACCATCCGGGCGTCCCTACAATGTGACCCCCAGATAAAGTGGAGCTGGGGAGGGGAGGAGTGACTGAAACTTCTGATCTGCTAAAACTACATAATAGAGATTATTCATGCAGTGATGCCCGTTCAGGACAAAAGGCGCGACCGTCTTGTCCGACAAAGATCTTTCTTTTCAGGGTTACGTTTGATTCCTGCTTAAATTCCCGGTGGCTCTTGTCGATTTAAGTGTGTCAGTTTAATGCTTATCGGTGCGTCTGAAACGGAATTACATGAGGGTATTCATGAATGTTCGCTCAGGAAAAGGGTTAAGAAATATTCCGCCAAGCGGCAGGAAGTGGTGTAGCGACAAGTGGTGCGCTTACCACTCGCTGGTCCTGGGTCCCAATCCCGGATCGATTTCCGCCCAGCCCAACCAAGCCTCCTACCCTCCGGGAACGGTAAATTATACCGGAGATTCGACTGTTGTACATCGGCTGGCCACCGCAAGTCATTGTATAGGCCACATCGCATTCAATAAGCCACTACGATTCTGAATGGAAGTAGAATGCGTGCCGCATCCCACAAAGGGATTGATCAACGGCGAAGACTTTATCCTTTAGACTTTTTATCCCAAGGGGTTGTGGGCATCACGGATTCCGAGTTTCAATAATAACAATAAGACTGCTTGACTTCGATCATTTCTTCGATGTGCCATTCGCTCATGCCCCTTTCAAAATTGCCTTAGTTTTCAAAACGCGTGCTAGCACCGTGAGCCATGTGCATGCATCTTTAACTTTGGTGTCTTTACTGAATTTCCTGATCAGACATTTTCCAAGAAAATTCGCTTTAGAAACGTCCACCAACGTCCACAGATTCGTCTATGAGTATCTTCGCCGGGACGGAGTGTTCGTTTTACGAATGGTCTCATCACATGCCGGCATCATTTTTGGGACTGATCTGATTCTCGAGCTCTGGAGAACTTTTTATGGGATTGAGAAGAAGGTATGTGACTTGTTATAATGTCATGCAGCCCAAATCTAAGAGCAAAAAGAGGCGTTCTCAAGCACTGCGAGCACAGCAATGGCTGCGGGTCCCGAGGCAAGAGAGGCAGAGAGGTATGAATAAGAGGGAAAGTCGACGCGGGAATTCAAAGCCGTCACCGAGGCCATCTTTTTGCTTTTTCACCTGCACCCTGCCAGGCTTGGGTCAGGGGGGAAGCGTTAAGAGCTTGGAACTCTTGAAATGGCCATAGCAGCTTGTCAATGGAACGATCAACTCCAAAGCTGCTCACGTTGTCGTGTGAGAGTATGGTATAACACTGAAACGGTAGAATCCCCACAACATTCAGTACACATGCGTACAGAAAAAAAACTACCAGTTCGCTTCTGCTGCTCCTTTGTCGGACGTGTGGAGATTTGGCAATCAACAACAGTAATAGCAATTGGGTATAGTTAAAAATACACTCCATCCTAAATCCATGGGCGGTACCAGTCCTACCGTTCCGGCTTAGTTCTGCGTTGAAACTGGTGCGATGCGGCTTAGAAGGCTCCAGGAGTTTGCTACGATTAGTCTTGAAGATACGGTCTTAGAACGCAATCATGGGAAGATGCATAGCGGACCCGACTCCGCCCATAAGGCCAGTGCGGAATGTGCTTTCAATACTCCATCACTTCTCAACGAATGACGTTTTTGGATGGATGCAGTCATAAGCTCTTAGTTGTTGTTGGAAATGGCGAACATGAAGTGTATTTTATTCCAGGCGCTCACTCCAGTCACTCCGAATGGTGACGATCCACTGCAGACAGAGCTGAAGAGTGTGACGGCAGTACGAAATCGAAAGAAGGAAAGTCTGAAGGCGATTTTGGGAGACATCGATATTCAAACAGCTTTGATGCCGATCAACCCAGAGAACGACGACAAGGCGTAGCAACAATTCCGACTAAGGTCGAAAGTCGTAGAAGCCTTCCGAAACATCTTTCACTATGATGAAACGTGCGGTGCGGAACCACATACAAGGGTCGGCTCCGCCCATATGACGAACGTGGAATGCACCTCCAAGGGTAAGTCTGTTCTTGAAGTTGAAGTGACCGCCACCGGCCACGTTTGATCTAGGTGTCTATGCTTGTGGTTGTTTTAATCGGCTTAAGTGGCCTGTGAAAAACAAATCCTCTATAAGCGTGTTAATGCGCCTTTGCGTTACTAATGGATTTGTGAAAATAATGCAACTGGCTCACTTAAATGTGTATCTTCAAGAGCTGCAAAAACTGCATTTAACATTTGGTTCAAACTCACTCATGTCTGATTCCTTGCTTGTGTTCCTTTGTTTCGTTTACCGATTCCTTCCTAATACTACGATAATTCTATGCGCAGGGTCAAACGCTGCAGTGCCGGTTATGTGTTAGGGTCCCCTCCCTCTGGGCACAGTTTTTTCCCACGCATCGCTTCGCTATATCCTTGAGCGCAAGGGGTGGTGGGAGGGGCGTGGGGAGTGGAGGCGTTCAACTGTTGTGTTCCATCTCTGGACCACATTCGAAAGAGGAGCACAACGCAGAGGAAGTCACAGTGATTTGCTGCCTCTTCCCAGCTTGGACTGTGCTTTTGAAAACCGCGAAGGGAGAGGTGAAATGTGAATGGTGACAACTTCAATTTGCAGTTCACGATCTGGGGTTCGAATAAAGCCCCTCGTAGAGCTCACGCTCTCATGAGTACCGTAAAGCGGCACTGCACGCTTGACCCTGCCACCAGGAGCTCAAGTTTTAACCGAAAGCTTAGCTCTGGCTGTAAAATTGATATCGTTGCAATCTGTCGGGGCGGTGTCAGGAGGGGTGGAGAGCTGACCTTCAGCTGCCTTGCTCTACCAATCATGTTCGTTAGTAATCAATTATAGAAAGAAGAAAAACCAATGGTGGAAACGCCACGGGCAGGCTCATTCTATACTCAAAATCCCTGAGATCGGGTAGGCACGGCTGTATGCTTCAACTTAACCTGAAGGAGTCTATGCTTCTGGTGAGATATTTTCATCTTGACACAATTGTTGTCGTGTCTCTGTCCAACACAGAACAAGATGACAGTTGTCCAGACTGGAATATTCCACGAGTAACCAGTTCCGTGCCATGTTCGAATGCCACGCCTACTCTGGCTCAGTAATGAGTGGTACCGCCCCGACCGATTATGACGATATCAACTATACATCCATCCTCACTACTCTTCCTAGTGCTATAATTTCCTTCGACGGGTGTGATTTGGTAACACCATATTGTGTTTTGGTGTTATGGTCTTACACTTTTAATCACTTGTTCGCTTGCGTTACTAGTAAATGCGTGCGCGTAATGAGATCCGATTCCTGGCTACAAGCAAAAATAAGTGGACGGGCGCGCTTGTCCAGTTACTTTTTGCTTTTAGCCTTGTTTCCTTTTTTCTCTCAGTCTTGTAATCAACTAGTTTTTCTGTGGCACCTCCATGTCAAATCAGTTAGGCTCATTCTCGTACGTAGGCAAGATGCGCTCCCGTCATTCGATCTCGTCAACAGCAATACGCTGTTCACTGTTGAATAACTGCCTTTTACCTTACAATTAGTCACAGGCTTTCCGCTGAAAACTTTGTAATAAATGTACATAGAAAATTTATATACTCAAGTTGAGTGCATTAATATAATATATCCTTCTATGTTCACTTCTATTGTCATTCTCACGTTTGTGTCTTACGGCATTTGAATTTCGCTTATGACTTTGATGTAGTCACGCAGAGATTAAATTTGTGATATTGTTAGGCTTTTGCCTGAATGAAGAGATTTATTGCTACGTTGTTCCTCAATTTCGTTTTGGATGACCCCGATCTCTGGATCATTTACTTACTGCCGCCGATTCAGCTCGCGCCCACGGGGCGGGGTTTGGCTCAGCACTAATAAGAAGCGCGAGTATATCTTAGCCGGCCGCTCAGCGCTCGTCTGGACTGCCAGTACGATTTGGCTCCACTCAACGAACAACGGATCCATTCACTAATTTTCAATTCTGAGAGAAAAGACAGACCTCCAAACCGAGAAATTCGTCTAGTATTCTAGTACACCTAAAAATTTCCTTATACAAGTCAACAAGCTCCGTCAAACTTACTGGCTAAGTCATAATTTCTATAATACAGTAAATCTCCAGACCAAAAACAACGATGCTTTCTATGAAAATCGTGAGTTGCATCTTAAGCATCTGCCCAGAGTGATCGTTGAGACGAATTCGGCAAAGTAGTAAATCCATGTGAAACAGAACAGAAGAGAATATACAGAACTAGCGAGCAACAGTTCTCGGGTGTAGCTCCAGTGACAGAAGTCCCTTCGTAGCGAGCTATCCGCTTTTCGCCCAACGTTTCAAGATCGCCGGGTCGAATCAGATGCAAGCACTCTGAAGGCATTCTTGATTGTCGACGAAATTAGAAAATGTGGCACATCCGAGAAGCCATTGTAAAGTCGTAGAGGCTGTAGCAAAGCTGAATCACTGAATCCCACGTCCGGTTAAAGACAATTATCGCGATCAAGTATTGCGGGCAATTGTACTCTGTCATGCACCAGTATTCCATAGTTAGCTTCTCAGTAGAAAAAGAAGCAGAAAAATCTTCGGGAACACCTTGAACCCAAACCTACCTTTAGCAGTGGGGGCGGGGCCTGGACGAGTGTGCCGGGCGTGGCTGCCAGAATTCGATGCGGCAGCCGCAATTGCGTCCCAACTTTCGAAATAGGATACTTTCGAACGTAAGGCAGCGTTCATACTTGTACAGCGTCGCGCTACAGCGCCGCTTCGCAACGTACTGCAATTTCCAACGATGGGATGATTAGAGTTGCTTACAGAGAAAATTGGGAAGGTTGCTGGAGTTTTCTTGAGAAATTGACAAGAAAAAAAAAAAAAAAGAAAGAAAATGACAACAAACCCCACTTGACAACAAATCTCCCTACCATTGGAAAAGCAAGCACTACATTCCATAAGCAAAAAAAAAAACTCTAATGGTTCCGCACTTCCACACATGTTTACAAGCCTGACCGAAGTAAGACCTTTAGCTGAGCTATGAGCCAACTTTGGCAAAATGCCAGTGGGACGCGGGCTTAAAGGGACGCGCGGGCTTTAAAGGGACGGATGCAGTTCGGGACCAGACGCCTCGTCCATCCTACCGGTGGTCCTCTCCGTGAGCCTAGCGAGCCTTGTCGAAATTGCGATAACTTCCTCATCGCGCGCCATTGATGGATAAAAGCGGGATCATCTTCATCAAGGCGCAGAGGGTTCCAGAAGGCGCGAAGTCATTTTGAAGGCCTCTCGAGCGCGGATACTGTCTTTAAGCAGCTCGATAAATCCCAACACATGGCAGACACGAATCAGTGCGCCTGTGGCAACAGCGCTTGCGTAGGCGCCCTTTACAGGAAGGAAAACGCCTCATAGCGCCCTATCAAGCGACATACCGACCCGGACGCTCACAAATGTCCGACCAATGCCGATACTCGTATCGCTTCATTTGCGAAGTACAATATGAAGATAAGATTGGTATGAAGCTGCTGCGGTGCTGCAGGGAAGTATGAGTACATACATGCAGCCGTATTGCCGTAGCGCTTATTCATGATGCCAGCGGGAAACTCGTCAGAAATTGCTCTATCAGGCGTCTGGAACAAAGGCTTTGCGTGCAGGTTTGGACTCGGTTCACTTCGCTTTTTCGCGCTTTTTCTCCCCTATCACGCACCGATCCACTGTACCTGTTAGAATGAGTACCAAATTATCATGCAATTTGCTTTTGAATGTTCTTGTCTGAAAATTTTCCCAGTACTGGGAACTAAGTAGGGGAGAAGGGATACTGAAAACAATCCCTCTCAGTCAATCCCTCAGTCCGTTTCAGTAAATGAAATGCTTCCAGATGGTAGATGTCGTTGTTTTTTTCCTTTGAAGATAATGTGGGGAAAGTTGTGATGCTGTTCGTTTGGGTTGGCGCCCTACGTAATGACAGTTTTTTTTATACTTAAAGGCAGTTGTAGCGATATAATCGTTGTACGATAAATCCCAAGGCGACTAGGATCCTGGCGCTTCGCTGCAGGAATAGAATTCGCGCGACCTGGCAGGCGGCTGCATAGTGGTTCCGCGCGAAAGAAGGTGCCCTTATAAGGGCCCTATCAAGCCACAACTTTACGTCCCAAACGCCCGCCACGCCCGCCCGCCCACAAATGGACGACCGTTCCTGACGCTCGTATTCATTCATTTGCTAAGCAAATTATGAAGCGAAGGGATTGGTATGAAGCGGCCGTGATGCTGCATGCATATATGGGTACACATATGCAGCCGTATCTTCGGTAGCGGTGATTGGTAAGATGCCTACTGAAACTCGTCCGAAATGATTTTACAAGCCACTGAGCACGGAGGCTTTTGTCTTTTCGCAGGATTTTCCGTTTCTCTCCGCTCTCGTCCGTTCTTTCGCCATTTTGCCACTATACAGTGCCCTACTAGCATTTTAGGCTAACTAGGAAACCATCGTGCCAACTGCCTTTTAAGTAGTTGATTTGTTCATTTCCATACACTAATGTTCAAAAATATCCATAAGTAGTAGAGACGAACGGTAGTATAGACACATACGAGCGTGATTTTAGGGCAGCGTTCATACTTGTAGCGCTACAGCGTCGCGCTACAGCGTCGCGCTACAGCGTCGCGCTACAGCGTCGCGCTACAGCGTCGCGCTACAGCGTCGCGCTACAGCGTAGCGCTACAGCGTCGCGCTACAGCGCCGCTTCGCAACGTACTGCAATTTTCCAACGATGGGATGATTAGAGTTGCTTACAGAGAAAATTGGGAAGGTTGCTGGAGTTTTCTTGAGAAATTCACGGAAAGGTGAGACTGATACAGCTGTAACTATCTGACGCCATCCTTGACAGTTACTCCATTAGTCACTATTTTTCTGGTACTGCTTTTA